TCGACAAACGTAGGAAATTGAATCCAAGGTATATTGGGTCGTTCAGTATCCTCGATAGGGTGGCCCCAGTAGCATAACAAACTTAGAATACCTCAAGAACTCAAAGATGTACACCTTACATCCCATGTGTCAGACGAAAGAAGAAATTGTTCAACGAGAGTTTCCGCTTAGTAGAAAAACCGAAAGAAATCAAGTTGCATCCCTATTGTGAAGGTCCATTGGAACGTAGAACGAGGACCCGAGTTCGCCTAGGAATGCAAAGACCATATGGAACAGAAATACTTGTATCTTTCCCCAACCCTTGAAGTCCTAGTCAAAGCGCTAATTTCGGGACGAAATTCCTTCTAACGGGGGGATGATGGGACGATCGTCAATTTCCGGTCAAGTCAAAATCAAATAAAGTCAACAAGTCAAACCGGTCAACTCATTTAACCCTTGTATATTGGGGTTTACATTGTGTTACTATTGTACAACTCGTTTTTTTTAATAATGAGTTATCACTTGGAAAGTTCTTATGTTCAGAAATTCTAAACCTTAATCGGGGTAAGTGAAGAAACTACTCGATAAAACATTAGTCCATAACCCTTGGGGGCATATAACAATCATAACGAGGCTTAACGAGGTGTACAAACCTTGCATTGTGAAGCTAAACATCCAAAAGGGTCACAAACGAAGTCTCTCTCAATCTCTCTTTATCAATCTCTCTCTCTCTCTCTCTATCTATCTATCTATCTCTCCCAAATCTCTCTCGTAAACTCCCTCAACTTTTTATAATCATTTAGGGACATCCCGACCCATAATGGAGCCAAAAACCGCATGAAACGGGACGATTATCCGTGAAACAGTTCTATATAAGCGAAACCATAAGAAGCGAACCCCTAAGAAGCCTCTTGGACCGAAACCCCTTGCGAGGACCGAAGGCAGCTTTAAGAACTGAACCAGGAGGACCGAACCTGCATGAGACCGAAACTGCATATGGGACCGAACCTCACATGGACCAAAACCGAGACTGCTTCGGACCGAGCCTTCGCATTCGCTTCTCTTCTTCCGCCTTCGCTTCCTCTCCCTTCTCGCCTGCGAAACCTTTCAGACGAACCCCTATCGCGGTTCCCATCATATAACCAAATCACTCTTCGGTTCTAAGCATGTTAGGACCGAACTTCGGTCCTGAGCTCAGAATTTCGCATCTTTTCCCGGTTTTCAACCACTTTCGCGTTTTAAGCCTGTTTTTCATGATTTTGACATGGGATTTTCACCCAAAATCATATTTTGACATATAAGACCCTATATATTCATAATTTAAACACATTTTAAGTGAAATCTTTATCTAGGAATAATATCTAGTGGATAAGATATTAAGGTAGAGTGTTGACTTTACCTTAAAGTTATGACACAAGCAACCTCCCATACCCACTCCATATCACTATTGATGCTTTAAGTCACCAATCCCATCATCCCTAGTCTATTCCTTGTCCCCGCACACCCTTCCCCAGCAAGTTATCTTGCACAAGGGCTAGGAATACCTTATCTCACCTCCAAGAAGTCCTTCCTTTCACATTAAGCTAAACACTTTTCTCTCTCCACTTCTCTCCAAGATTTCGAGATTCTCCAGAGATATTGAGCTTTTCATCCTCCTTTGGTAAGTAAATTTCATCCCTCACTTGATTATCTTACACCCCTTCACTCAAATCATGGGTTCCTTACACAAATATCATCATAATTGTTGCTAGATCTTCGAATCTTCAAGCATCTCCCAAGTGTTATTGACTTGGAAACTTCTTCTATTCATCAACCATCCTAAGAAATCACTCAAGGTTAGTTCATACCCCCACATTTTCATGTTTCCTTTAAGTTTTAGGGGTATCATACAAGTTAAAACACCAACAAATTAACTAAACTCAAACATCAGCTTTCAACAGGAAAGTTTGGTTCCATTCACGGACTGTTTTGAACATCTTAAACTTTTTAGTTTTCAAACCGTATTAGGTGCAAATAGTTCAGGTTTATACCTTTAAAATGACCACTTGCACATGTTCATACGATTTTTCTATAATTATGGTAATTTTTACAAAACTATCTATCACTGTAGGTACGAATTTGGACCAATATGTGAATATGGACATTTCTACACAAGTTAGAGACATATAAAAATCATAATAAAAATTATGAACAAGATAGACACATTTTCTAAACTCTCAGAGTTTACGGATTCTGTTTTCGACTTCGTATGAATTTTCTGTGATTTTTACAAAATAGTGCAGAAATGTTAAAAACAAGTTAACAACTTACAACTTTCATCACACTTTGTAACATGTTGAGCAAAGTGTTAATCTTGATGACTTCTTATTTTACATGTGTTTTCTATTGTGGCATAATTATATAATAGAAAATACTCACTGATTTGTAAGAGTCATTTATCATTACAAATAATACAAGATAAGGCATGATAAACATAGTTATATTTGTGCACTAAATTCAACTTACATAGAGAAGGGTTCATTTACATTACAAACATTTTAAATAAACTATAATAGGTATAGTTTATGTTTATATACATTACAAACAATTATGTTAAACTATAATAGGTATAGTTTATGTTTCATTTACATTTCGAACTTATTATAAAAGTTTTTCAGCTGGTATAAATGGGGTACGTATACAAAGTACCGAGTTTATACAAAAAGTGGTTTCAGATCTCTTTACGTAAATCCGTTAATATATAAATTTGTGATACATTCTCTTCATGTTACTTCCAAAGTAACAAAGTCAAAAGTCTTGTAAATTGTAACCAGAGTCTCTTGTAGGGAGAGCGTGATAGTTGTGTATAGATCTATATTGGGTCTCACAAACCCACACCTGAGCTGCATGCAATAGCTAGACCGGCAGGTCTGAGGTGACAAATGTCATTTAACTTTACAAAGCCTAAAGAACATCGTATACAATGCCGACTGGGTCATAGCATGGTTATAATAACTCACATGGGGTATTAACAAACATAAGATTTATGGGTTTTACTTTCAAATTAAACGAGTTTATGTCGATTTAAACTTGCATAAATTTTCTTAAGTATGGAAAATTACTTGTACATTTCGATCTTGACATTTAAGACTACAATATATTTTAAAAGGGAAATATTGGATTTTTCTGGAACAAACATTACTTTTACGAGGAAAGAATTCCAAACACCACATACAAAAGCTTATGAACTCACGAACTTAATTGTTGACACTTTTTTTAAAACTACTTGTATTCTCAGGAAATCAGTGAACCAGATAAACAACAGTTTTTGAGGATGGGACGCTCAGACGTCAAACATTTCATTTTGTCATCATAATGTAATTGATTTTGAAATATGTGAACACATACTACGATATAACTTTCTAATTATATTTATGATGGTTGTATTTGCTTTGAGCACTATTATACTCGTTGTAATGATACTACACATGAAGTCCTCCACCCCTGGACGTTTCCTCCATGCCCTAAACTTGGTATAACCTTATTTTTGAGTGTTTTAGCCTCTTAAGGCCTTGCATGAACGTAAAGTTGGCAACTTTACGTGGTAACTACCGTAGAAGGGCTTGGATCTGTAATTTGGGGCCTTGGATTCCACTGGAAAGGATTGAACACAAAAAGAGCTGAAGGGACTTGACGAGTTGCTTAGACAACTCGACGAGTCGGGGAGGGTTTTCCGGTCCTTTGGATCCTAAGTGATTTCGGTACGCTGATTAAGGGATGTCGGTCAAGAGATTTCAGTTTAGAGTTTTCGGCCCTTGGACATAAGGAACTCGGCGAGTTGCTCAGGTGACTCGACAAGTTGACTCACCATTTTGGTTGTATGGACTCCGAAGGAGCTCGACGAGTTATTGGATGCACTCGACGAGTTGAGGTCAACATGCATTATTGACCTTGACTTTGACTAGGATTGACCATGGTTGACTTTGAGGGTATTCATGGTATTTCGGGATTGTGACAAGTTAATCACATGATGATTATAGGCAGTTGAGTTGGAGTTGTGCGTTGGGATGTATATGATCTTATCTTGTCAGTTCAGCATTCACGAGAGGCGAGTCTCCTCGCCATACCAATGGGTCAAAGGCACAAAGGTCGACCCATTTTGTGATATGTGCTACGCTCGCTGTTGTAGAGATATGTGGTATAATATTTAGTTATGCTAAGTGTTATGCTAGTTATATATGTGATACTTGCAGGGAAGACTATAAGGGAGCCCATGACACTTGGATGTAAGACCATGTGGGGGAACCCATGACTTTTCACGTAAAAACCTTGGAAGGATCCCATGGCACTTGGATGTAAGACCATGTGGGGGAGCCCATGGCTTTCCAGCTAAAGACCATGGGGGAGCCCATGACACTTAGGTGTAATACCATTTGGGGGAGCCCATGGCCTCCTGGAGTAAGACCTTGAGAGGAGCCCACGACATCCTTTTATGTTTGTATGCATGACTTATGTGGTTTATGTAGCTTTTATAGCTAATATGATTATGTGTTTATGTGGATTGTGTAGGGTATGCTCTGGGAAACTCACTAAGCATTAGCTTACAGTTTTTGATTTGTTTGAGATACTTCTAAGCCTAAGGGCAAGGGCAAGACCTAATGGTGTGGCATGCACTCTCTCTCAGGCGTTTTTATGGGACACTCTGATGTTTGGAATAATATTGTTGATAATATGAATTTGAAAACAAATGTACTTAAGAAATTATGGTATATTGGAAATGTTTTTAACTAATTAAAAATGAAAATTTTCTTTTTGAAGTTGGGTTGTTGCACAGACTTTAGCCATAATTACTTTTGATATTGACACTTTTTGTCCTCCCTGCTTCTACCGCCACTGTAAGCCAATAAGAATGAGATTAGTGTCGATGGGGCTTATCGTTTCCTCATTCGGTTTACTTCTCATATCTCTAGTTCTCATCCTATACAACTATTCTCTCTCAGATTTATCTTCCAAATTTGAAATCGATGAGGACTCTTCATTCAATGGCCTCCTACCTTCAGAATTATGAATTCTGTCATCGCTCAGGCTTCACCTTTGACCTATACTCGGCTAATCACTCTTCTTTTGTAGTTTTGAAGGGTTTTTTTGGTTGCTTTAGGGTTTTGATTGTAGCTATAAATGATATAGATTTCATAAACCAATGGGAACTCCTCGCCCCTACCACAGAAGGTCAAACAAACCCTAATTTTTTACGATTCCTTTCTATTTGTTTGTAAATTTGATTGCTTTTCTTTTGTTTTCTAGTTTTCGATTGTAGCTATTGTATTATTCTACTGGTTATACCATATTCACAAAACCAATTCGTTGGTCTTATTGGAAAAAAGCCATGGGATTGAAAGCCTCTGAATCAAAAGGATGATAATTCACCGGAACAATCACACCGTTTCCTATCTTCCGATTGTCGACAAACACTTCCCAAATTAGACCTGTCAAAATCATCCACCTTATACTCCGAATTTCTTTCTTTTTATATTCGTCATGAATTCGACTTTGATTTTCAGGTTATTTTTGTTGGGTTCCGATTTATATTACCCATTTGTTTTTCCGACTTTTCAAATTCTGATATTACCCTTTGCAAATTTGTCACAAGGTATAACATTGTAGATCGTAGTTGTCAAATTAGCAGCACTGATCAAATTAACAGGTTTACGACAATGTTGAAACAAAAAATGGTTTAACATTTTTTTTATGATTTTTGGATTTATTTAACATTAACTTACTAACGGTTGTTACTGAAGGTGGATACAGATAAAGATAAATCATTAATGGTTGAGGTCGTCAAAATAAAGTTATCATATTTATATGTACAAGTGGTTTTTCTAAAGTACAGTGGTCTAATTAGGAATCAACCACAATGCTCATCAGATATTCCTCTAGCTTGTGAAACAATATTGGTGGTCGTATACCCTAACTAAATGGCAAAATCTTCGAATGACACCTTGATTAGTGATAAATCCAACCAGAATGGTTCATATAGTTAGTTGTAGGACAAAGTACACGAATGGTCCCTATGGTTTAGTGTTTGTTACGCGCCTAGTCCCTAACTCTATTTTTTAACCATGCCAATCCTTAATAGTTTGGTTTAGTGCACGGATAGTCCCTCATCTAACATTCCGTTTGATTTTGGAGTTAAAACCCCCACGTGCCTTGCACGTTGAGGGGTATTTCCGTCATTTTACTTATTCATCCTATAAAAACCCTAGATCAGTGCATCCCCCTTTTCTTCCTCTACGTTTGTTCTCTCATTTCATCTCTCGTTTCTTTAATGGACAAAAAATCAACAATGATGAAATGTAATTGCGGGCAACCAAGTGTTATACTGACATCATGGACCGACGACAACCCCGGAAGGAAGTTTTATGGCTGCACAAAGAAGGTAAGGTCGTTTTGATTCTAACTCAAGCTTTTGTGTGACAATGACCGCAAATCTGTTGGATTTGAACTTGACAGGGACCTAAATGTAAGTTTATTGGATGGGTTGATGAGGAAGGATGTGGACGATGTACTAGGATAATTCCAGGGTTGTTGAAGGCTAAGAACAAAGTTGAAGCTGAGAATCGACTGCTGAAGATAATCATTATTTTAAGTTGGGTGTTCATAGGAATCATTATTTACAAGTTGTAGTGCTTAAGAAGATCCAACTAGTATGCTATGTCTGATGTTTGTCTTTTTTGAACTTATTTTGACTTCTATGATCCATCTAGTTGGTTGTTGTATGTGAATTTGAAGTGTTTTGAAGTGTTTCTGGAATGTATTTTGATTAAGTGTTTGTGAATTTGATAATATTTTGGTTAAGTGTTTCATTAAGTGTTTTTGGAGCTTATTTTGACTTCTATGAGCCATGTATTTTCATCAAGTGTTTCTGGAACTTATTTGGAAAAGTAAACACTAACAATTGACAAAAACAACCAATAACATATGCTAACAATCGACATAAACAACCAATAGCACAAGTGGGATTTAATAAAGGGTAATTTAGTTTCCATACTTTCCATAACATAGTTTCATACATCAACAAAATGGTTAATAGTTTCATACATCAACAAAATGGTTAATAATTTCATACATCAACAAAACGGTTAATAGTTTCATACATCAACAAAATGGTTAACCAAAAGAAACATAATTTACCCAAAAGTGTTAACCATAAGGACACAGTTTTACCAAAAAGACACAATTTAACCAAAAGAACTATTAACCAACAAAATAAACTTTCACTAATAGATCAAGACAATGTCATCAATTTCCCTCAACCAGCTTTTCCTTTTCCCTTACCAGAACCACCAGGACCACCAGAACCACTAGGAGCATTAGCTTTTTGTCCCTTACAACTCCTTGCATTATGACCAATGTTGTTGCACTTTGAACAAGTAACCGACTGAAGGATTCTTGATGCACTATTACCCTTCACCATGTCATCAATTTCATAAGCTGATTTTCTGCGTTTCTTCTTTGGTCTACCAATTGTGACATGATGTTTAGGAGGAACCAAAGTTGTTGGACACACAGACTTTTCCCACATGCTTCTCCCATTAATGGGCTCAATTTTGAATGAGTACATCTGTTTCCAAGTTTTTAGCCAATATACCTCATGCACCCAAGTTTCTGGTATTCCAACATCCTTACTATTCTTCCTCATCTCCCATATAGTAGCAACAACATGTTTGCATGGCATCCCAGTGAGTTCCCATTTCCTGCAGGAGCATGTTTGTTGAACCACATCCACCGCGCATTGGTCCATCCAAGGGCCACTTACCTGATACTTACCATTTCCACAAAATACAGATCTATAATCTTCTGCCTGTTTTTTTATATTTTCCAAAGTCTGCATAGCTGTAGGTGTCAAAGGACCAGTACATTTCCCAATGGCCTTTTCTACATTCACAATCTTCTTCATTAGATATTCCCTAATGAACTCTAGGCAAGTAATAATTGGTTTATCACGACCCTCATTCAGTTTTCCATTGAATGTTTCACACAAGTTATTAAGAATCACATCAGAATGTGCTCTCCCTGTCCAATCACATCACTTAAAGTCAATTAAATAAAACTACACAAACCAGGAAAACATAAGAATGTTATTAGAGTTAAATATTATACCAGTGAAATGGGACCTAGACCAGTGCTGAGGTGGTATCTTCTTAAGCCACTCATAACAATCCTTGTTTAATTTCTTTAGCTCTTCCATGCCTTTGTTAAACTGTTGTACATGTGTTGCAGTTGCACATGTCCATAAGAGGTCTTCGAAAGGTTTACCCCTCCATTGCTTCCTCATGTTATCCCGAATGTGACGAACACAGTAACGATTTTCAGCACAAGGAAACAAGTCGCAATTGCATTTAGAATACCCTAACAATCATACATAGATTTTGTTAGTAAACAATTTAGAAATAAAGTAAAAAAAAATCTATGATTTTAGTACCTTTTGTCTGTCTGTTATAAAAGTGAAATTAGAATTGGTATTCAAGCCAAGATCCTCCCCAAGACAACTCAAAAACCAAGTCCATGAACTGATGTTCTCTGTTTCAACCACCGCATATGCCAATGGATATGTGCCATTATTACCATCTAGTCCCTGCATTTTATGATAAATAACAATCATGAATAGATTTTTACTTATTTTTATGTATAACAATAAGTAAAAGAACCATAACTAAAACTTACCACGGCTGAAAGAATTTGTCCTGGAAATGGACCCTTCATGAAAGCACCATCAAAGCCAAGAAAATCCCTCTTTCCAGCTGCGAAGCCTTTCTTTAAAGCTCCCAAGCATATGTAAATGCGTCTGAATGTCCTCGTTTCACTGTGTGGATTTCCTTCGCTTTCAACATCAACCCTAACAGTCGTATCTGGGTTACGAGTTTGCAACTCAACAATGTAATCTCTGAGTAAACTATACTGAGTAACGAAATCTCCTTGCACAAGGTTTAGAGCCTCAGATTTTGCCCTAAATGTTTTCATCCTAGAAAGATCTACCTTAAACCTCCGTTGTAGCTGTTCTTGCAAAGCCCTAATTGGAACAGCAGGGTTACTTTCAACCTGTTCAACAATTTTAGAAGAGAGGAATTTATACGTACATGCTTTTACTGTTCTAGTTTGAAGACATTTATGGACTTTGTTGTACGTTTTAACTGTCCAGTTGACATCTTTTTTCCATTTACTAGCTAATAAGACCCAAGGACATATTTCTTCTTCATCGTTGACTTCTACATTAGGCCCAAGCTTTGGTATTGTTCCCTTACAAACCCATCTCACTCTATTCTTGTCATTTTTTCAAGAGCCAGCTCCCTTCTAGTCTCTATGGCATGGAGTTTTACCTTATCCTTAAACTCCTTTGCTGAACCAAATTTTTGAAAAATATAGAAGGGTTCACTAACAAGTGCTTCATCATTCTCATGTGCCCTTTGAATTGCTCTTATTGATTTCTTTCTTTGACCATTAATCCCCTCATCTGATGATGAATCAGATGCTAAAAAGTCAGTGTTAATCACCTCTAAAGCTTCATCCTGTGTGCCTTCATCAACCACAGTGTTAGACGACCCTCCAACCCATTCCACATCTTTGTCGATATTCATTTCAAAATCTTGCATATCCACATTAATATCATCCAATATATTTTCAATGTCCACAAAAAAATCACTATCATCACTTTCATCATTGTCACTCTCTAACTCACCAAACTTACCAAAGTCATTAGCATCATTAACCAAGTCATTCTCCATATGATCAGTGAGAGTAGCATCATTACCCAAATCATTCTCCATATGATCAGTGACAGTAGCATCATTACCCAAATCCTTCTCCAGATGACCAGTGGGTGTAGGATCATTACCCGATTCTTTCTCCATGTGATCCATGTCATCCTCCAAGTCAACAGCAGGTGTGCTATGCCACTCCAGGAACAGTGTCTTTGAACAAGATGGAGGTTCAGTAATCTCCGTTATACGAACTTTACTGTGGGTTGGGGACATTAAATAGGTGTGCAGAGTAGTTTTGTCATGCTCTATATATACCTCAATTAACTTATGCTTAGCCACAAAACTCCCCAAATAACGAACATCTTCATCACTAGCTAAAGCGAATAACCCAAAATCTAAATCGCCTAAAGGCCTTTGAAAGTGATAGTAAAGTGGTTTACCTATTGAAGCATACCCTAGGTCTTCCATCATCTCATCAATGTCATGAACGGAAAAGGTATCAATGTCCAGTAAATCAACAAATGTTTTCTTCCCACGAATATACTTCCTTCCAGGAAAGCTTGTAAACTCACCTCCATGGTGCATTCTTATTGAAAACATTGTCGGATGTCCAGCTGTAGAGGAGAGAATCGTTTTTAGCTAACAAAATTAAACCTTTAACAGTCAATATCATTCAAACGAAAGTCAATCAAACATACCATAACTTTGATCAACGTCGATTTCATCCATTTCACCACGAATGTGCCAAGAAACCATTGCAATTCTTTGTTCTTGCAGTCGTCGATACTAGGGTTTTCACGTAAGGATTTTGCACAAAGTTGTGTGTTTTTTTGGGTATACGATTGTGTAATGTAGAGTATGATCGTTTAATTGAACGCATCGATTTCTTAAACTGGCGGTAGGATGAATAAGTAAAATGACGGAAATACCCCTCAACGTGCAAGGCACGTGGGGGTTTTAACTCCAAAATCAAACGGAATGTTAGATGAGGGACTATCCGTGCACTAAACCAAACTATTAAGGATTGGCATGGTTAAAAAATGGAGTTAGGGACTAGGCGCGTAACAAACACTAAACCATAGGGACCATTCGTGTACTTTGTCCTTAGTTGTATTATGATGTTTGGATATATCTATATTTAAACAACTTATGTAATTAAGATGAATGCATTTGGTAGATGTTATGTTTTAATGCCCCGAGTGTTTTTTCTTTTAAATTTAACCCACATAGTTTGTGTTAGATGATTTAGAACCCGATTGTAAAGGGGAAAAAGGAGATTAAATATTAAGATGTATGTATATAATGGGTATATGATGAAAATTCTCACTCAAAAATAGTATTTTATTTTTATAGCACAATGTTATAATTGGGTATATCTTTAAAAAACATTCACTCAAAAATAGCATTTTATTATCAAACATAGTTACTAATTTTTGATTAATTAATTGAAATGAATATTTAAATATTATTTATAAGTTCTTTTCTAATATAAACATATTATGTGCAATTTATAGTTAAAATAATTTTCTAATAGTTTTGTATTTGTATTTAATTTATTAAGTATTTTCTGTCGAAAATGTATTTATGACCCAAGTTGTACAAATAAAAAGTTAATTTTGCTCTCTGTTGTGTTTTTAGGTGTAATTGGCTATCAATCTATAAATAAATAAAACTGGGAATTACTTGGCTGGATTTTTTTAAAATCAAAAGTGGTTTTTATTTTAAGTTCATATTTAATGTTTGAATATGTATTTGTCATAAAGTATTTTTGATTCAAAATAAAAGAAATATTTATATTATCCAATGACATTTCATTATTAAAAATTATTGTAGAAATTTGGGAAACCATGATTCTTAGTATCATTATTTAATATGTTTAATGTTTCGTTTGTATGGTGTTAATAAATAATAAGCAACAAACTTTCATTTTAATGTTGGTTTTCTGTTTTTTAATTTGAAGGAAAAAAATTTATAATCGCATCAAGAAATGTCAAACCTACTAAAAATAAATTGGATTTGGGATAAAGAAGGTGAAATGTATGTTTTTGGTATGTTCATATATATTTTCTATAATTTGTCCTTAAAATTCAGATGATTTGACTTCAATTTCAGAGTTTTGATAATTATAAGTTAAATTTCTTAGCAGGTCCATGTACATAGGGCAAAATCAAAACAGAAGAAGGAAGTATTACTTCAAAAAGCCTTCCAAGTTAACGAAATACAATGTTTACTAAAGCCTCAGTTGCTTCTAATGATCATTCCATTGCTCATGGCAACATTATTCGTTAACTTGCTGCTATAATTGGCATCAGGGTTCAACATGTAACACTTGAATTGGGTATGTTTCCTTTTAGCCCTTTTTAATTATTGCAATTTGGTATTTGGGATTAGTACGCGGGGTGTACCATAGGGTACGCTTAACGTACTAGCTGAGAAGTCGGTATGCGGGGCGTACCGCATGGTACGCTTAGCGTACTAAGAGGGAGGTCTGATTGCGGATTCGAGCCTCGTATGATGGGCATACAAGGGTTATGCTAGGTGTACGAGGATTTAATGGTACCCTAATTTTTGGGTTATTGCACCCTATGTATTCACCTTAAGTCCCAAGAGTTAGCCTCTTTATCAGCCTCCATTGCCCTAAAACCCTAATCTCGAACCCTAATATCATTTTGAGTGTTCTTGACCTTTTGGGGTGTTTCCTTAGTTAGTTGGTGCCTTTAGTAGAAGAAGGAGTTGGTGGAGAAGCTCTGTTGGAGCTTGAGCTTGTGGATCCAAAGATTAGGCACCTTTCTCAGTTGCAAGAAGGTATAAAGTCTCCACCTTGATCTTGGTGTGTTTATATCTCTTCATGATATGGTTTTATGCTTCTTTGTCCCTTTTTGGTTGGTCTTAATGGGTTAAGGACGTTTTAGAAGCTAAATCTTGTAGATATGGATGTTTGGAGAGTTCCTTAAGCATAAAGATGCAAACTTTATGGTGTTTATGGTCTCATGCATGCATCATGTCATTTATTAAGCTCTTTTAAGCTCTAAGAGCCTCATTAAGCCATGCATGAATGTAAAGTTGGCAACTTTACATGATAAAACATCTTAAGGAAGTCAGGTCTGAGTTTGGGTTGAGGTCTTAATCGATTAAGAGTTGGAAAATGGAAGTTGGCCAAATGGGGTAGTACGTTGGGCGTACGAGCATGTACGCTTAGCGTACAAGCCCTAAAGAGAGTATGTTGTGTGTATGTGCTGAGTACGCCCCGTGTACTCAATAGGTTGGGCTTTGGACTCTTGGGCTTTCGGTTTGGGCCATGTTTGGACTTAGGTGCTTAAGGCCTTGTTGGACCATCAGGTTTTGGGCGGATGTTTGTTTTAGGTTCGTTTGGAAAAGGCCCATGAAAGAGATTTGGGCCCAATTTGGAAAATTAGGTCATAATTGGGCTTGGAATGATTATTTTGGAATTTTAGGCTTTTGGACAATTGGATTGGGCCAAGTTAGGTAAAGGGTAAAAAAAGTCTTTTACCCTAGTTTAGACTCTTTGTGTGAGTTGGGATCCAATTATTGATTGGATGATTATTTTATGATTATTAACACGAGGATTTTAGCGGGCCAACAACCAGAGATTCTTCCTGTGAGATTCGACAGTGCGATGTGAGTTTCCTCCCTTTGTTTAGCGGGTCGGAGGCACTAATATCATCCCGTGGTTTTGTTATGTTAGGATGCTAGATGTTTGGGTGACCCTTGTATGTGTTATGTGCTCGTATGCTTACCGGGCGGGGCCTGATGACCATTATGTATGTTATGTATCTTTGTGATCATTGCATGTGTTATGCGTTTATATGTTTATATCTTTTATATATATACTAAGCGGGGCCCGATGACTGACAGATCTGTATACCGTGCGGGATCGATGCAGGGCGGGGCTGATTATGTGTTTCTTATGTATGGTATGTGGTATCTTGGGGAACTCAATAAGCTTTGTGCTTACAGTTTTCAATTTATGTTTCAGATACTTCTGGTTCCAAAGGGAAGAGCTCAGGATGATTGCAGAGCACACACCACTCGTTTCTACATCTTTGTGACTTACTTTGGTATTGATACATTTGATAATCTTGATTTTATAACAATGTTTTGGGTTGTTTTTATTAATCTAAAAATGAAAAAAAAAAAATTCGGGTCTTATTTTTGGGGCGTTACACAACACTTTATTGCTCTGGTGTCATATTTGAAACATTACATTTTCCAACAGGGCTACTTATGCTAATAATTATCCAAAATAATAATTTACATTAAGTTTATGTAATTGTTTTCTTTATCTTTTTTAGGTTAAAGTAGCAATTGTTGTTTTTAAAAGCTATGAGAGGCCATTCACAACAGGAAAAAAAATACGTTTTCATGTGCATACAAAACATATCTTCATTGTGTCATTCCGAAAGAGGTACAAATTACAATATTTTATTATTTTTAGGCAAAACATGTAATTTTACAATATCAATCACAATATGTTAATTATACACTTCTATTCAACCATAATAGCATCATTATTGTATTCCTAACCAAAGTATCTTTTAGAAAAATAAACCATTTACCTAATTATTGTATTCCCAACCAAAGTGTCTTTTAGAAAAATAAACCATTTACATAGTTTGTTGAAGTTCTTAAAATTTTAGACACATGATGTAGATGCAAGTGTTATTAGAAGTGCTTGAAACATGACATGATATCTAATATGATTTTGATCATAACCAACAGCCCAAAATCTATCGCCACTAACCAATGAAAGATCAATAATATAATTATCACATGAAATAGATGACCCGGGTTAAGTTTGGAGTGGCCAAAATCTAGGATTTTGGAGCAACATAAAGAATGTTATAAAGCAAGTATGTTATAAAGCTCGTAATCTCAAATCCGGTTTTCAATGCACATCCGGTTTTCGCACTAGAACGATTCCCCATTTCAAGGTACATCATCTCTGTGTGTTTTTTGGTGCTTTAGTGTGTGTGATTTTAATTCCATTATTCTAATTTCTTGATTTTGGTTTTAGGATAATGAAGAATTATGATTGGTACAAGCAAGATGGTCATTTGTGAACAAGGACGAGAATGTGTTAACAAGATTGCAAAATATAAATTTAGCATTTCATTTTGAAGTGGAACAACAAGTGAACTGGACTTTCTTGAACTTTTTTAGGTTTAATCGTACTGTGAGAGTGTGTCGGATTAAGTCTTTGGAAGATTCTGGTGTGTGGTTGGAATGAACGACCGTGGAGGATATAGACATTGCTATTAGGGCTCATCTCCATGCCAATATGATATTTTTCAATGATGTCAATGTATTTTCAATGATAAAAGAGCATTTACATCCTTTTACACATATACCCCATTATATTCAACCTTTTGGGGTGAGAGCGGGACAACAAATTACAATTTTGTCCGATTGACATCAATCACAGTTAGTCACATCAATCTTCGTGTATGCAAAATGTAGTACAAGATTGTCATGTTCTCTTGTAGGGGCCCTAAACTTCAAATAATTTGTTAGTTGAGGATTGTTTAATTAATTAATTATTTAAAAAAAATAACTTTTAGTGCCAATGTGAGTTGTGCCGATCGTATGAAGCTTATATGAAACACCTGCATAGATGGCATTACGGGCATATGGAGGGGCGGTCCTAGCTAGGTGCCCGGTGTGGCACCGGAAACACCTAGCTTCCGCGTACGTAGTAGAAAAAGTTTTATTTTTATTTTTTAATTTTTACCTATTGTGCCACTACGTAAAAAAATCGTGCAACTACTAAAAAAATTGTGCAACTACATAAAAAAAATTGTCACTCTATCGGGAATTACCAAACGAAAAAAAATAATAGCGAGCCCACAATCCAATGTTTTAATCGATTATTATCTAATAGTCCAATTACCCAAAGCCCAAAATAAAACTTAAGTGGATAAATTAGCAATTGGGCTAATTGCTTGTAAAAAAGATAGCCCATCCTAATTATTTCAGTTTCTAATTGATGATCGGTACAAGCAAAAAAAAAAAAAAAAACGATAGTTGCCTCCAGTCGATCTCCAGACGTCGACTCAACTTCTTGGCTCCAATCGATTGCCTAATCAATGTCGATCGCCCCTGGAATATGGATGACTTCTATATTCTATCGAGTCACAGCCTAATTCTGTCTTCTTGATTGTGAATCACAGCCCAAAATCGATTTTGTTGTTTGCCTTGAATCTTGATCGATTTCTTGAAGCAGTTTTCAACAATAGTATCAATCAACTTCTGTCTAAGTCTAACTGTCTTCTTTCAATTTCTACAATGAAGCAAGTAAGTTTTACCAATTACCATTTACCAATTCATTTAGATATTTGAAATTGATATGTTTTTTAAAGTTATTGATTGACTTGGGTGAAATTGATTTGTTTTGTTGAAGTTATATTGTTTGATTAGGTTATATTCATATATTGCTATGTTTTTTTTATTGCATTGATTGTTTGATTAGGTGAA